CACCCCCCTCCAAATAAGTCCCCTTTCCATGCCACCATTTTCTTACTTCACTCCCTCCACCAGATCAAGGTTGGTCGGGTTAGTTTCAGAGGAAAGAAAACCAATAAGCAGAAACCATACTCCACTCTCTGGCCTCCACCACCCCCTCCCTCCCCCAAACCTCTTCATGGGAATCATCTATGATCTGATGTGAACTGCAAGAGAATGTCTTTAAAGTCGAGTGAGCTCTGCCTGCTTCAGAATCATTAGGATTTGCCTTTGGATTTAGCGTTGCCATCTATGAGGAGAGAGAATAATTGCTTCCCTCGGTGCTGCTCATCTTTTCCCAGTGAAGAATTCAAAAATGTTCTTCCTTTTCCTCTCCTCTTCCCCCGACTCCCCCAAAGTCCCAGACACATCATCATCTGCAGCAAATCTCCTTTCTTAAAAGAAAAAAAAATCTGTTGTTTCTAAGAATCCTTGTTTGGTAAATCCTAATTATTCCAGGATCTCAAGCCGAGTTCAAGAGCATTTCGTAATGTCTACGAGCCACACATCTCGTTCGAAGCAGCTGGCTGCATGTGTGTATGTGTGAGCGTTAACGTTTACAAAGTCTAAAAATACATACGTCTCTCGAAGGAAACAGCCCAAGTTCTAATAAACAGCAATTCACTTGTGGGTTAGGCTGAGAACCAATTCACTTCCTCACAGAGTGACATGTCTGTTACCCAGAAACCAGTCCAGTCAGCATCGTACAGGCAGGCAGGGAGGAGGGAGGCGAGGGCATGGGGAGGCTGAGGGGGGGTGGGGCGGGGTGTCAGCTGCTGGCCTTTATCTTGCAGGGTCGTTGAGGCGGGTGTGCTGGTGCTAAGGGCCGAGGGCCCCGCATGGTGTAAAGGCTGGGAGACCAGGGCATGGGTGAAGGCATGTGGTTCTGGGACATATTAATAAGCACAGAGGAAGGGGGGAAAAAGCTCTGCAGGTCATGCAACCTGCTTTCAGCAGCAGACCTCCATATGCATTTGCACAGCTCTGCATATGTACAAGCCACCCGTGGGCAGAGGGGGCACAGAGAAATACATGTTTCTGTGTGGAGAGAAAAGCTTATGTGCCTTCCTTCCGATGCTGCGAACCAAGACTGGAGGCCGTTTGAGGCAGTGTCGGGAAGTGAGCACTGCAGGATTGTTTGCTAGGCTCAACACGGGAGGGAGGCAGGGCATTGAGGCCGGGAGATGGGGAGAAGAGAGAGAAAGACATGCGAGAGGAAGAGACTGATGTGGCCCCAGGGTCCAACCTGAATGGAGCCAAGCTGCTCTTTGGGAAATGGCTATTTGGGGGGAAAGCACAAATTCTCTGCCCCCCTCCCAATATTCTTGGTGCAAGCAGTTGAGTGATGGCTGAACATGCTTTGAATAGCTAAGTGACTTCACTGAGCAATGGTCTATTTGACGCAGACTGCATTTGGTGCCCTTTCTCAATCCGAGCCGCTGCCTTTAACATATTCTGCAGAGCAGCTCTATGCTGAATACTACATGCTCCTCCCCAGCCAGAGAGTCAATATGACGAAATTAATAGGGACCGTTTTCAACACATGCATACACACCCCTCCTTTAAAAAATGAAAAGCCTTTTATACCACTAGTCATTAGCGGTGGAAAGACTATTTCCATTTAATTAAACATTTATGACAGTCTTTTATTCCAAAAGAGAAAGAAAGCAAAGTGAATGAGGGTTGCTTTAGGAAAATGATCCTAGTGATGATTCGCCTTCTTTGGATTTTAGTTAGATGGGTAGAGATGCATAACAGCCAAGAGATTACAGGAAAGACAAGACATGGTTTTAGGGGAAGTATAATCAGATATTGGTGAGTTGGGATAAATATTCTTCTTGTATCAGGGTTTTATTTACAAATCCTTAATATTGTGATCTTTTAAACACCTCATAATTTCCAAAAGACAAGCAGACTAGAGGTGGCTTTGGATCACTTGTGCATGAAAAGGTTTGAGTATTTTCATTAAAATCTCATCTGTGTGGTACACTGCCCACCCTCTCTAACTTTCTCTCCAAGCCACACACCCTGTCCCTCTCTGCTCATCTGTAAAGTGTTAGGATCAGAGTGCTTCCCAAGGGCTGTATGGTGCACACAGGAGCTGAGGGTTGGCACTCTCCCCAGTGGCCTCCCTGGGTGCCCAGCCCCAGGGCACTTGCCTTCAAGTGGAGTGGGGCAGAACTGGCTGGGCTTTCTTCTGGGTTGAGTCTCCCTTTCCATATGTCGCCAAGGCCTGAGCAGAAAGGGCTGGTGCTTGGGGTCCCAGTTCAACCTGGCCTTCAGTTTCCAAAGTCTCTGTTCATATGGGGCTTGGCAGGCCTCCGGCCATAGTAGGAAGCTGGGCCTTGGCCACTGAAGAAGTAGTTTGGAGATTTTTTTAAACAGCTTATTTTTCAGGCTGCGCTAATTTCCAAGGGTTATAAGTTCACTTATTTCTGGAAGTTGGCATAACCAGTTCTAGGCGGTGGTGGCATGCTTGCCTTTCAGAATCGGCCTCTATGGGCATCAAGTTGCCAGTGTTTTAGGCCTCCTGGTCTGTGCTTTTTGGTGAGAAATTGGATTTTCCAAAAAGATTCCTCCATTACCTCTTTAATTGCACTTTCTGTCTATACCCAAGAAGTTGTGAACAGATTTCAAATTTTCCCTCAGAGAAGCTGCTAATAACTTCAGATGGAAAACAAGCCGTCTTCCTCTGATCTCTTCTGCTCTTTGGTTTTCATTACGGCTTTTTGTCTCCTGAGATGATTATTTTTGTTCACCTCTTGATGAAAATAAGAATTGGGAAATAACTCTTTGCCTCTGTTGCTGCTTTTGGAATTAATTAGTGTGCTGAAGAATGAGAAGGGACATGGCCACCTGTTAGGGTAGACACAGAAGGAGGAGGACAAGAATGGAGAACTAAAACCCACTTTTATTTTTCTCTCTGTAGAGCAGATGCCTGAAAAGTCCCTATGTGCAAACTTGAACTCCCTGGCAAGCTACCGTCCGTAGTGGGCTTGGAGAAGTTGGGGTGGGAACAAAGTCCGTGGACACAGGTGGGCGCAGAGTGAGATGAGGAATTCTTGAACTTTTCAAGAACGCAGCACTGGGAGTCTCTGCATGGAGAGATGAATTGGCCCTTTCAGGGAATTGCTCAATAAAATCTACAACAGGACGCTGAAACAGCTCGTTCCAAGGCTGGCTTCTCGGGGCTGCTGGTGCCTTGCTGCTCAGAGTATGAACCTGTGTTGTCACCTAAAGGGAGCAATGTGTTCAGGGACAGCCAAAAATTCTCTGTTGATTCTCTCCAATGCTTTCTTCCTCTCTGTCCCTGTACCGCTCTAAGTGTCCATTCACCAGAAGGATTTTCAGCCCCACAGAGGAGGAGCCCGAAGCTGGTACGGAGTGTCTGAAACAGAGGCAGACCCACAAGCATCCCTCTCTTCTCTCTCCCCTTTTGCTGTCTACCCAGGCTGGTCAATCCCCTCTGCCAGATTTGGCAGCTCCTGCTGCATTGCTGGCTGCTCTTGTCTTCCCCCCTCTGCCGGCTGATCGCTCTCGGCCACTCTGCCAGCCGTGGCTGCATCCTTGCTCTCCGATCAAGAAGAGTCTTGGTTGGTCGGAGTTGTTTTTCCCAAGTTCACTGCTCATCTGGCCTGGGAAGTGGTGGAATGTCACAGGCTCTGCTCAGCTCTCTGGTTCCACCGAAGGAAAGGACAGATTTTGTATGGGTTTTTTCATTTGTTTTGTTTTTGGTACCAGGGATCGAACTCAGGACCTTGCGCTTGCGAGGCAGGCAGTAGAACCACTGGGCTAAATCCCCAGCATGGACAGATTTCGATTTTAGGAAATCAGTGTCTTTCCCGGGGAACTCTCGTCTTTGAGGGCAGTGGGCTGATGTGGAGGATCCCACACAGCTGACTCACTGGGTACCCACTGCTCTGAGTCCCAAGGTAATCTGACTTGCTCTAAAAACGGTAGGTATATAAGAAATATAGAGGCAATACTTATCAGTGGATTAATTCAGGGTATTTTAAAATTACTGGAGTGAGTACAGGTGTCACCAAGATGCGTTGTGACTGAGAGAGAGAGGGGAAGATGACTTGTCTATTCTTCCTGGAACTTCTTTTTCAAAAACAGTAATGAGTCAGGACTGTATATTTCAAAGTAAAGGAATTCCAAAGGAGTCAGTCCGCACAGCTTCTGATTGGCCAAAGTGAAAGCAGATTATTCAAGGAAAAGTGAAGGAAGGTGGTCAGCATGCCCGGCCTCTAAAGAGAAGGAAAAATAATTAGTTGGTGGCTTTCGTCTCTTTTCTGCTTTTAAAATGTATCAAAGTTCAGTTTTATTGCTCACCAGAATAGACACGTCTGAGCAGAGAGTGGGCATTATAATAGGCCATCGTATGTAGCTTCTCCAGAACCTCTGTTCTCCAGCAAACCTCACATCCTATTCCCAGGATGCTGAAAACCTTCGCCCTAGGTCTTGGGTTCTAATCAGCAGTTTTCCGCAGAGCCAGACCCTGAGTCCCTCACCTCTCCCACCTGTGCTCTTCTCCCATGCTCTTCTTCGGGCCCCAGCGGCTCACACGGCACTCCCTGCTCTTGCTTGGGGTTTCCAAGTGAGAGAAGGAGGCACTCAGGAGTAAGTGGCCCACTTAGGTCACAGGGGTGCAAAGCAGCAGAGCCAGAACTCACATCTGGGCCTCCAGTGACCCCTGGGGCTGGATTTCCTTGCCCCACACACCCTAGAAGCCTCCAGAGGGCTCTGCAGCCCACACACCACGAGCACGGGTCCTCTTCTGTCTGTATCTGTGGATATTGGCTCTGAGCACTCAGCCGCAGCAGTCAGGCAGTCTGGCCATCTCCAGCCACCCTGCACCCTCCAGGGTGACTTGACTCTGCCTTTAGCCCCCTGTCCTTTGAGCTGAGGAGCAGCACCCACTTTCTGACACTCACCTGCAGGCCTTACCCTCTGCCTGCTCTTTCTTTTTGCCCTTTTATTTTGGAAGCACCCTCAGCATGAGTGTTCTGTTGGTTTGATGTTCACAAGCATTTCAGGAAAGAGGAAATGTACATTCCCGTAACTCATGAAGTTTTCAAGCGAAGCTTTGGGGTCTAGTTGAAAAATGTTATGGCCCCACAACCTGGGTTCACTTTATGTGCTGTAGCCTTCAGGAGCTGTGTGATTTGGGGCAATTGAACCTCTCCAAGCCTCAGTTTCCTTTTCTGTAAAAAAGATGTATCATAGACCCTTTGCAGAGTGGCTGGTAGTTCAGGGATCAAGGAAGTAAACATCTGTCCCTTTCTTGTTCTTGGCCATCTTATTTGAAACTGCCATCAATAGCCCTCACCTCTCCTCCCTTACTCTTTTCTCTTTTGTTTTTTCCAGCCTTCTCACCATCCTCTAACCCACTGTATCATTCACTCAGGTAGTTTTTGTCTCTCTCCCACCATGAGACCATCAGCTCCCCGAGGGCGGGAGTTTTTGGCCTTTCTGCTCACTGCTGTAGCCACAGCGATTGGGACCGTGTAGGATGTCAACCCGCCTTTGCCGACAAAGGAAGACATGAGCAGCGCCCGTGGCGGGGTGGGTTTCAGAAATGGCAGCCCCTTCATACCATCCCAGGACTGTTCTTTGAACAGTAGAGGCAAAAACATTATTTGTTTGGACATTCCAAAAGTTAAACCACAAATTCAA